TACTGCAAACTGGTGAACTAATTTAAATATATTTGCATATAAACAACACTTCAGTTTCGGAGACTTTTTCAAGTACTGAAGTAAGTGTAAGATAACTTCAAATTTAATGCCATGAACAAATGTTCCCATATTGTCAGAAAGGAGGTCATCTTATTTTCTGTTTTATTTCCTATTACAGCATTACACCTCAGCTAAACAGCCTAAAAAAACAAACACATGGGTCTTTAAATCACAGCTCTGCTGATTACATTTGACCTCACCAATTAAAACCAGATCTCACCTGTAAATCACTTAAATCTTTAATTGATTGATCTCACAGTTAAACAGTGCACCTCACTTTTCTAGGACCATTAAGTCCTAACTCAATTCAACTCTTTAAAAAATATCTGGTTTATTAATATGGAATATTGTGCTTTTGTATCCACAATTCAGAACCCCAGGAAATTGTCCAATATTGTTGCACAGTGTCATGCCTGCATTGCCAGCAGGAAAAAGGATGCCAAACTTTACATAGCAAAGGGCAATCCAAATGTCAACAACACCAATGGCAGCCATCAAGATGGTCTACAGGATAACCTCTTGTGCTCACTACAATTCACAAAGAGACTCCAAGCAAGAGAAAATCTAAGAAACTGACTCCTTTTTTCATCAGTTAACCACTTCTCACTCAAACACAAAGCAAATGTCATGTCTGTCTTTTAACAAGTGTGAACAACATCCCTTCTCCTGCTGGCAATGCAGTTAGAATACAGTGGTGCTCGCTTAACGAGCGCACTGTTTAACAAAGAAGCCACATAGCGACACGTTTTTTGCAATCGCTAATGCGATCGCATTGTGACGTTTTGAATGGCAAAACATCGCATTGCAATGATCGGTAAGTGTTTCACTTACCAATCTTCGCATTGTGATGTTCTAAAAACAGCTGATCGGCAGTTCCAAAATGGCCACCGGAAGAAAAAATGGCCGCCCGCTCCGTTTTCGCGCCCTGCCCTCACTTACCGGGTGGCGAAAATGGTGGCCGGATGGGGGAATCTTTGCATAGCATTGAGTTTTCACCCCATAGGAACGCATTAAATGGAGTTTAATGCGTTCCTATGGGTTCCCCCTGCATAGCGACGAATCCAATTAGCGACGTTAATCCTGGAACAGATTAACGTCGCTATGTGGGCACCACTGTATTGTGAAGCAATACTGGGCCAATTCCTTGTGTTTTGAAGAATTGAATTTCCTAGCTTTTAAAATGGAAGTTAATGTATACATAGACTACACAAAACAACAAAAACTACCCTCATGTACAAGTTCCCTGAAGACGAGCACATGATCTGAACTATAGTTGCTGGGAGAGGACAGAAGCAAGAACAATTGCTATGTGAATATAATCCTTTTGTGCCAAAAAATTCTGAAAGCTTGTTTTGGACTTAATGAAAAGGTGAAGCAAAGGTGTGAGTAAGTGCAAAACATATGATACAGAAACATACACACCCTTGCCATACTCTCAGGTAAACTAATGCTGCTATGCCCCTACACAGAATGCAGACTAGAAAACTGTCTTCCAATATCCAAACACTTTCCCTGGAATAAATAATATGAGGAGGAAAAGCTCCATGAGACCAAAAGCTCTGCAAATGTGTTTTGTATCTGTTTTCCAAAATATGTCCCTTGCCTTTTAAAATTAAAAAAGCGGGGGAGTGCTGGGAGTTAGCAAAAACTGTCACTGGAAATCAAGGTCAAAATCATCCATACTATGTGAAAGATAGCAAAGAAAGACAGTGACAAAAATCAACTCATTTGAAATGTGGCATTGAGGGAGAGCTTTACATATACTGTAGGAAGCCAGAATGGCAGGAAAATGAGTGCTCAGTCAAGTCAAGCCTGAACTCTCACTAGAGCAAAAATGAGTAAACAGAGGCTATCCTACTGTACACATGTAATGAGACAATATTGCTAGGAAAGGGGGGGGCAGTAGGAAGAAAGACCTAATATGAGACACTCCATCTCAATAAAGACAAGCCACAGCTGTTAGTTTGCATGAATGTAGGAGAACTTACTTGAAAAGACAATACTGCTAGGATGAAGGGAACAGCAGCAACACAGAACAAGCTAACACACGATTCTGTTTGGAAGATCTGAGCAGAGCTGTTAATTGTGGCATTCTGGAGGTCATTAACTCATTCGTCATATATCAGAATTGACTTGATGGCACATAACATTGTCAGAGTTTTTTTTGATTACTAAATGATTTTATAGTGACAAGACAGGTGGAATGGCTGAGACTATAACAGGATATAGGCACCAAAACTCTGCTATCATGAAGTAAAACCATCCCTAGCCACAAAGCAAAAAATAATAATTTCACAGAGCTTCTAAATATTTAAAAATATTTCTTTTAATATTTTTACAACTAGATACAGAATACCTTTGCAAGCACAACTCCTTGTTTGACCAGGAAAGAGATAAAAATTCGATTGGATCCTGATTGAGAGGTTCAAAAGTTCAGGTTGCTCCAGACCAGGAGCTGGTTTCCTCTTTGAAAACATTTGTCAGAAACCTGGTCTCAGAAATCATGGGATAATGTTTACTGAAAGCACTCAGGGCTGGGACAAACACAACTGCTCTGTGCTTTTGTCATGCAGAAATACTTTGAATCTATGCTGCGAAATCATATGCTAATTCCCCAGAAATAGATGGGGAAAAGTCCCCCTTTCTGGAGAACTATCACTCCATTACTTTCTTTAAAGAAAATCCATGTGTTATCCAGGCTCACCCATTCATCGTATGGGTGAGCCTGGCTAACCTGCACTGCACATGCTCCATTTATAACAAAGTCACTGTTTTGAGGAACAATACTTCAGCCCCTGCAACCTGGATTCTTTCCAAATTTTAACAAAAGCACATGGGGCCAACCATTCTCTTTCAAGATAAGTAAGAATGGGCTTTTCAATTTATATGATTTTAAATCTGGGGACATTTAGGGTCACTGATTTCTGAAGCAGGGGTAAAACACTTTTACTCTAAAACACTCATAAACAAAAAAAACACCCTTCCCCACATTTGCTATACCTGTGCCAAATCTGATGCTCATCCAAAGTCCAGGTTTAAAGTTATAATTTGTTTTGTTTGAGCTGCCCCATTTTTAAAATTCCTTGTAGAATGTTGATTTTCTCTGTTTCATAAGCAAAACAGATCAGCCACTGGGTAAAGTCAAATGAAAAAAGAATTAAGGGCAAAGTGATTGCATATTAGCAAATACAGAAGTTGTCTCGATATACGTAATATATTTTACACCCTATTTTTAGAGGACATCTGCTAAATTAACAAATTACCCATCCAATCCAGAATTATTTTGCCACAATGCCCAGCCGATTCCTATGGGAAGCCCACAGGTGCCCTGTAACCAGTACTTTCTGTTACCTGGAGACAGTCTGAGAAAGTCCATGAAAGTTCAAACTGAAATAAAGCAGTTAGTCTTTAAGGTACCACAACATTTTTGTCTTCTTTATTTTATTTTTATTTTTAACCTCATGGTACAGTGGTTAAACTGCTGTACCGCAGCCAAAACAGTGCTCATGACCCAGGATTCAATCCCGAGTAGTCAGCTCAAGGTTGACTCAGCCTTCCATCGTTCCGAGATCGGTAAATGGGTAGCATGTATGTGATAGTGTAAGAAAACAGGATTATGACCACTGAGAGAGCTGTCCTGCGTCTTATTTTAAGAGGTACTGTTGGTCCTCATATCATACAGAATTCTTCATCAATAAATCCAAAGCTTTTATCTCTTTAATATTGTCACGCCATTGTAATAAGGGACTTGAGTCTTAACAGTTCCTACAAGTCTCAAAAGATACTTCTGTTCAAGAATCTCTAGTTTCCACTAATTCCACATCCCACCTCTGCAAAATCAACCCTCATTACCTCTGAGGAACCTCCAAACCATCCAGAGTACCATTTGGACAGGATGGGAAACTGCATTGCAGAAGTCAAATTCAAATGACAAATTACTGTATTTTGAAATTAAAACTACAGATCATGTTTCCTCTTTCTACAATCTAAGGAATATTTTTCTTAATATTGCATTTGCTATGGCATATGTACGACATACAAAGAAAGAATGTTTCCTGCTTCCAAAATATTAAAATGTGCTACTTTGATACAAAAAAATTCACATGACTAATAAAATATCTTCAACCATGTTGAAGCATTATGGATTACTTTATTGGTTGGTCCTATTATTAACAGCCACATCAAATATACAAGTTGAAATTATTTAAAGAGAGAGAGAGAGAGAGAGAGAGAGAGAGAAAGAGAGAGAAAGAGAGGTTTTGAGAAAGCCTTGACATCCTTTTTGACTAAAGTCTGAGCTATCTGGGAATAAGTAACACTATATATATAAAAAAAATCATAGTGCTCTTTAAAAATAATAATTCATTTGTATTTTATATAAGTCTTATGACTGTTCCTTTTCCACTTCAATGTAAATTCTATTAGCAACCTCTACACCACTGCCTCACAGTGAATAAACCAAATACAAGATAAATGTCAAGGCATTTATTTTCACATTTTTCTCAAATATGTAGTTTACTGCATAATTATTTGCCTGTTTGCAAGTGACAGCTTTAACCTGTCAGATTAACCAGAATCGAAGAAAGCAATAGGGAAACCAAAATCTTTATGTCAATTGCTATTGGAATTAAATATTTTAAATAAGCATGACCTCCAGCTGTAATAATTTGAACTGGAACTCTTTTTGAGATCCGCTCTTCAGCATACATAAATTGGTTTTGGCATAAATTTGCATGGGCTCAAAGCCTTCTGTACAAACGATAAGAATTATTTTGTTTTGATCCAACATACCAGATGAAGAAACACAGAATTTCCATTTCTGGAATTATATGGATTGCAGCATGTTTCTAACCAATTAACAAATACAGTACAATTATTTTTAAAAAACTCATAGTTCGAAATTCACTCATTTCTGTTCTGCGACTGCATTTATTACACAGTGTTGAATATGACTTCAGACAACAAGAAGGGAGATTTCACCAGGTTCTGAAAACCTTAGATGAAGTAGAAGAGAGCCCTCCTGTGGTGCCCCTACAAAGACAGCCATCTGATCACCCACCCATCACTGAGAAGCAGGAAGTAAGGAGAAAGACAAAGAAGAAGAAATGTTTCTGGTGGATTTGAATGCCTTAAACACAGGATTGTTGTTCTTATGTGCTGTCAAGTCAGAGCTGACTTATAGTGACCCTAATAGGGTTTTAAAGGTAAGTGAGATAATTGAAGGAGTGACTATCATTTCCACTCCCTCAGTGAGTTTCTATGGCTGAGCAGCGATTTGAACCCAGGATTTCTGAGTCCTAATCCATCATTCTATCCACTAATTATAGTGAGTATGGAACTCTGAACATCATGGCTAGACTATGGCTGGGCCATCATGAATAACTATCACTTTTGCAGGTTCCTCCATATACTCTTGAGTTCCATTTGCAATTCCAGGTTTATAGATTAGAATTTTGCGACTGATGTAAAAATATTGTAGTAAAAGTATAGTTGTCACAAAGCAGGAAGTGAACAGGGAGATGAAGCTTGCAAAGATGAATCCCATTCATGATGGCCAAACCATGTTTTGGAAACAATACCTGAAGTGGGCTAAAGCCACTGTAACTGGAGGTGGGGGGAGGAATAAGGGTTCTTGTTGTCAAGTAATATAGCTTATTCCTTGCAAAACTCAGCCTACAAATATCAAAGCTGTAATGAGAAATTTAGAGATTGAATTAAACTTGGTATTTCAGAGTAGACGACAATACAGCTTAATGGAGCAACGAAGCTCCATGAATAGAACACAAATTTTCCTCCTCTATATGACACCCTTACTTAGCAATTCTGTCAGTTGACTATAACTTGGAAATGATGTGATCATTTGATACTTTGCACCTTGTTTTATTAGCTTGATTCAGAATTTCTGAAATCTCTAGATTTGAGGAGATATTCACACTTTACAGCTGACAAAGCACTATGTCCCTGACAAACTGCTTTATAGCAACTTTGTATTGATTTTATCTTAATGCACCTAATATCCTTCAAATTGCACAAAGCTGTTCCTCCTAAATAATCACACTCAGCCGTCTGCATAAATGCTGAAGTAGAAAAACAAGTTTGAACCTTAGGAAATACTACCATAAACTAAACCAGGTTTTTTTCTGTTTAAAACCTAATAACAGAATCATAGAATAGGAATACTTGATTTCATTCCAGTCCAGAATAAAAAATGACGACTTCATTCGTAAAATATTGTAACAAAGGTCATGAACAGAGAGTTTCATATCCCCACTCTTCCAGCATGCAATCAGTGAAGTGGCTTTCCCAAGGACCCTGGAGAAAGAGAGGATGCTCAAATTCTGGTGGATTACAATGAATACTAAGAGGATTTTCTTCCCTCCTAGAGGACCCCACCAGGTCAGTCCCACATTGTCCAGTAGCATTCCCCAAGGGGCAGGCTACTGGAATAAGCACCAATATTATAGATTCTGTTTCCAGAGTTTTATTTCAGCAGTGAGAGTATCCCTAGGTGAAGCTTCCTTCAAAACTTTCCTAGTGTCAGAACGTGAGAGAGACCGTATTTGTTAATTCCTCCCTCACACTGAAATCGAATTTTGCCTCTCCCACTGGGTAATTCCCACTGGTATGGGAATGACTCAAACAGATTTGGTGAGGGGGTCATGACAGCAAGTGGGTGGTATTGAAAACTACCATTCATTTGCAGCTCCTCTGACAAACAGAAAAGCTATGCTATATCAAAGGCCTCTTGCTGATAAAAGAAGCCCCTCCATCTGTGGAAGGTTTTTGCTCAATCCAACTCAACATTTGGGATTGTTACCACATGAAGGTATTTTAATGGCTTCCATACAGCAACAGTAGCTCGAATCCTGGGAGTCAGGAGAAGACAAGGTCATTGGGTATCCCTAAGTGAGTAACTTTGAATTGTGGTGCTGGAGGAGGTTCTTGAGAGTCCCCTGGACTGCAAAGAGAACAAACCTATCCATTCTGAAGGTAATCAACCCTGAGTGCTCACTGGAAGGACAGATCCTGAAGGTGAGGCTCCAATCATTTGGCCATCTCATGAGAAGAGAAGACTCCCTAGAAAATACCCTGATGTTGGAAAAGTGTGAAGGCAAGAGGAGAAGGGAACGACAGAGGATGAGATGGTTCGACAGTGTCATTGAAACTACCAACATGAATTTGACCAAACTCTGGGAGGCAGTGGAAGACAGGAGGGCCTGGGGTGCTCTGATCCATGGGGTCATGAAGAGTCGGACATGATTTAACGACTAAACCACAACAAGTGAGTAACATTATAGCTGCATGTTTGTTATAACGGGTTCAAAGAAATTCACCTGGCCCTACACACAGCCAACATAGACAGGTCGGTCAGTCTCAAGCCTCCTAAGCAAAGTTGTCATTGTTGTATTCTCAAAGGCTTTCACGGCTGGGATCTGATGATTATATTTTATAACTTATATTTTATATTAACTAGAGCCCGAAAAACCCACAACAACCATTTGTCATCGTTGTTTAGTCGTTAACTCGTGTCCAACTCTTTTGTAAGCAAAGTTTACATGACATTAAAGACCATAATAACGCAATTTAGGCACAAGAAGAGACTAGACTAATTCTTTTGAAAGATATTTATTAGACCACACTTAGATTTTGAAAGTAAAAAATGTTACTTTCACACATGGGGATGAAATAATCCCATGATATTGCAAAAACATTTTGCATATCCCCCACAATAACAGCTTTGTGCCTAATTATTTGAAATAGGAGCTACATTTTTAAATACTTAGATTTTATATTAACTAGAAGGACCCAAATTATTCAGATTGCCTACCACCATGAAATTTATCTTACTGATGTACCTCATTTACACCCACCTTTGTATTACAGCATTCTTACAAAAACATGAAAACAGATTTTAAGTTTAAGTGTTGTCTTGGGGCATGTTTCTACCATATCGCCATACCTATGTCCAAAGAAACAATGGAGCATGTTTTTTCTAGCTGTAAATTAGGACAAAGAAAAACTTGGCAGGAATACTGTAACATGTGAGCAACTACTTGCAGGAACTTTCAAGGTTTGTAACAACCTATGGTCCAACATCAGAGCTGTTTAGCTGCAGATGCAAATGCACAGAAATTCCTGATCTGGAACTGGTTTGTGTGGCAAAAGAAAGGGTGCCAGTTACAGAACTCCATACCCAACAGCCAGTTTCACATGAAATAGTACATGTGGACTGAAATCCATGATAACAACCTCCAGCAGGTAGTTGATGTAAGCCAGAGAATGGGGGTGGGTGACAGAATCCGATCTTGGTACATGCTGTGAAAGCCGAGTGTTTTCTGCCATCCATTAACAAACAACTAAATATAGCACATTGCATGTGACTTTCGATCATGCTGTTCAAGGCATCATGATTGTCAAGATGGGGGGAAAAAACATTGAAAAGATTAATTTGGTCTGATCCAGTAAGGCCTTTCTATTGTACACGGTTGAGAATACGTAGGTGTTATTCAGTTGTTTTAAAAATCTGCTCAAGGGAAAGTATGGTGCTCCTTTACTTATAAATTAAACTTGCAGACATTTCTACCTTCTCAAGTGTAGGAAACCACTTAGTCTCCAAAATGCCATGATATCTTCTCTTTCTCTTCTCTTCCTACTTTTGATTTCTCCATTTCTTCATTGATCACCTCCTCTCTGAGGCTTGTTCAGCCTGTCTCTGCTTACTTCTCTACCCCCTACCAGGTAGCAGAACTCTCTCACAGTTGGGAGAAAAACAAGATGGAGCTCACAGAGGCTCTCAGGAGAAATCAATATCACATGTCTGCCTAAAGCTACTTCATACTTTAGGGAAAGTTAGGAAAACATGCCATTGGTGACTGAGGGTGGTACCGCAGGCCACAGAAAAAATCAGAAGTAAAATATATGGAACAAATAAATCAATTTCTAAAACAAAATATCCCTGGTGTGTAAACTCCTGAATTCCCCTTAGAAAGCATGTCATGCTTCAGTTGTCTGGGTCGCATAGTCTATGGCAGAGAGACACACAGAGAGAGAGACCTACACTGCCTTTGATTATCCCTTAGAAAGCATGGCATGCTTCAGCTGTCTTGGTCACATAGTCTATGGCAGAGAGACACAGAGAGGGAGAGAGAGAGACCTACACTGCCTTTGATTATGATAGAAAAACTGTTCCATTGTTATTTAATTATTTGATACAATATAACACATGAAGAAACTTAAAAGCGGTTTACACTACCTTAACCTTTCAATATTCAGATTTATGTTCCTTATACATGTATAGGTTTTAAAAACCGTGCTAGCAAAGGAGACAGTATTTATTATGAACAGTCTACTACATTTTTGGAATGCATTCCAAAAGATCAACTGTAGGATTCTATACCTACAGCCACACTGATAGCTTTCAATAGCACTAGCGGTATACAACAAATACATAATGTGCTGCCAAAAAGAAAATAAAAAGAAGAAAAGTAATGAGATATTTAAGTGAAAATGTTTGTAAAATATTGTATAGCACATATTACATATTCTGATACTTCTGTACTTGAATTACTCTGCTCTACAGAGGAAAGGAAAGTTTTTTTGAAAGAACATTGTAAGAATGATATATTCAGTCTGGTAAGAATAATATCTTAATAAAAGGTTTCTGTACTCCCACAGTACAATCAATACCTATTCCTCTTCCGCATAGTCACAGCCCTTGGTAATCAAGCAAGCTTCAATACAATTACTTTCCTGATGAAATGTACTAATCAAATATAATGTTTTGTATATTTCTAGATTCTTTTACTGGCATAGTATCTTTTGCAATAAATGGACATATTTTTTTCTGTCTCGAGACTCAATAACTTAACAACTGCTTACAGTTGAAGTCATCAAAGGTGGAAGAAATCACATGAATCATTGTTTGCCTAACTATCTTTCCCCCACCTCTTCAACAACTTTGTACAATCTAGCACTGGTTTTACAAACTCTAGTCCAGAAACAGCTCATGGGTGGAAAACTGACATGCTTTCTTTTTTCAAGTTTGCATCAGTTCATTTTTCAAACATTTTTCCTGCTGTACTCTAGTGCTGGAAATTCTCCCATAGTAAACTGAGCCATTGTACCATATAGCTTGGCCACCTGTTTACAAATCGTGTCATGCCTGAGCTCGCTTGTCATTCACAACTAGTTAAATGGCCATCTGTATGGCGCTGTCCTGATGGTTTGTTTCAATCACATTTCCTTCACTTACTCCTGAGTATATGAAGTAACAGCAAACAGATTTGCCAGATGGTAATTTCGAATAGTGAAAATAACTCAGCTCACAAATCATTATCCAGGAAAGCACCAGCTTTACAAACAGATTCGCGCTACAGCGAATATATTGCTGTACACCACCCAGAATAGCAAGGGTGGTATTCTATGTTATTTATGTTATCTACCGTAAACTATGTTTACGGTATTCTAGGTGGTGTACAGCAATATATATAGATTGCTGTAAATATATATAACATAGATATATAACATAGATTACGGTAGGACACCCTTCCATCCACAAGATCACTATCCTCTGATTCACTTATCCACTGCATTAAAATACTAAATAATAATTAAAAAACCAGAAATATATACAGTGGTGCCTCAACTTATGACTGTCCCGACATACAACCATTTCGAGTTACGACCAGCTCCAGAAGCACAATTTTGCTTTGACTTGTGAACGGACCTTTAAGATGCAACCAGAAAAAGGCAAAGAAAAAAAGGTGGGGAATTCAAATTGCTAACCATTGGTGGCGAAGAGGCTGCTTCTTTGTAGCTCTTTCTCCCCAGCGGTTAGAGCGAGTGAGATCAGAGGAGGCTTTGGACTGCCTGGTAAGGTAAGGTGCTGCTTTCTGCTTTTAAAAAACTGTTCTGGGTGGGTTTTGCAACATGGTTTTGGGCTGGGTGGTGGGATTATGTTTCTGACCTCTGATGGGTCTTGGGTTGTTTGTTGCTTTGGGGGGGGTTCCCTGATGGATCTTGCAGGGTTTGCTTGTTTTTGGGGGGGTCTCCCCATTTCCGAAGGGTCTTGTACAGTTTGTTCGCTTTTCTTTCTTTTCCTTTTGGCCAGAATGGATTAATCGTGTTTCTGATGGGTCTTGCATGATTTGTTTGCTTTTTGTTTTGCTTTTTTTGCACTTCTGAAGGATCTTGCACAGTTTGTTTTTCAAAAAGTTATATAGATCCTGCTTTTTTTAAAAAAAGCAGTCCATCAAAATTACACACGCACATACACGTAATACAAAAGTATCTACATTCCAATCTCACTGTCATCTGCTTGTGAAATTAGAAGGAAAGGGAGACAGTCATAACTTTGAGGAGTTCTCATATTTTTGAGGAAATTTGAAAACACAAGCAGCAACAAAAGCATATTTTCAAGTGTGTGACATCGTACAGCTGAAACCTTGTTATCAAGATATGCTCAAAATGTCTGTGCCTTCAATTAATTTGCTTTACCAGCTTCTAACTCTGAGAGAGTTATATTCACAGGTTCTCGGCTCTGATTACTTTCTAAAATCTGATAAGCAGCAGGGGCATATTTTCCCCCAGATTCTTTGTAAATTGCTGGGTATCTCATGGCATTTCAATGTGTGAAATAAGACGAATCCTACTGCTCAGCAGAGCTTATCTGTCAGCATTTAAGGCACAATTACCATTAGAATAAAGCAACTAAAATTAACACAATAGGGTTCCTTATTAATGTCCTTGCTTATCAAATCCGGTGAGCTTCATTATAACTGTCTCTATATGAAAACAACTTATTAAGAGTCACAAAAATTTAAAGCTTTCCTTTTCTTGAGTTTTGCCCTTCCCAGTCATCCCCAGTTGCTTCCAGCCAGGAACCATCTTTAGGAATAGGTGATCCAGCCAGCCAACCATAGAGCTGAGCTCAAGCTGTGCTTGTTGAAGGCTGTCTATTCAAGCCTTCCCTTGGAAAAGCTGAAGGCAATCTTGGAAGCACTCCTTCACTTGTAAAGCTGATAACTCTGACCTTCACAGCCCATTTCAGACTAATGTGTGTATGTTTTAAAAATTATTGTTGTTTGGGGGGAAAGGGGGGGTGTTACTTATTCCAGTAATTGTAAGTGATGTGTCTGGCAGCCATGCCCACCTAATGTGTCACACATAGCAGTAAAGATTCTACACACGTACCAGTTGAGGCACAATTAGTTTCTGTACACAGCGGGGATCCTGGCTGGCAAAGAGTCCTTCCCTCATGTGGTCATGTAGACACTACAGGTCATAAGCTAGAAAATATACAAAACCATCCCACACACAATTCTAAAATTCCCGGGGCAGGTAATTTTGAAAGTAGAATTTTGAACAACAATATCCACACCATCTTCTGAGCGTACAGAGCCTGACTGGACAAATTAATTTGCAGTCAGTCCTAATAACTAGGAAATTATTTAAGACTGTACAGTGTTTCTGTTTAGGAGGATGAAGAACAAATCTGTAATTAACTCCAAACCATCAACCTCAGCCACCCGCCTTTAAAATGACCGTAATGCACACATTACAGGACAGGGTGGACCACATTTCACTCAGTGACTTCATGGAGCCTCTCAGGGGCCTAAATGCAGTTCCTCTTCACCATCACCCCACATATCCCCAATGTTGTTTAAATTGACTCAAAAAGTTTCCTTCTGTTTTCTAGATGGCTTGGTGAGGGAGTAATATGGCCATGTTCTCTCGGAGACCATGCCCTTGGAGTCCCTACCTCCCAAAAAGTAGATTTATTTTTTAAAAAGTTTCTTTCAAATATTTTTAATTATGTGTCGGACACATGGGAGGGTCTGTGGGGGAAAAAATAAGGAAAACTCAGGCACCTGCCAGTGCAGGAGCTGGCATGGTTCTCTAGGGTTCCAAGGAGAGGTTTACCTGGTCCCTAGGTTTTTGGAGATTGCCCAACCTTGCCTTACAAAGTCTCATTCAAAGTGCTTAGAACATTCAAATATGCTATCGGTGTATTAATATTCAGGGCAATTTTACAAACAAGGTTCCAAAGATGTTTTTGCTGTCTTTCCTGTCCGTCTCACCTCAAGGGTCAGAGTAACAAAGGAAGGTGGACAACTAAACAATTTTCCACTTAAACAAAGCTGGAACTTGCCTACTCATATGCAAGGCAATTCTTTATTCTCTGCAGGTGACCAAGGGCATTTTACACCTTGGCAAACATCTAGATCATTTCTCAGTGTCAGTTATTGTGTAGCTTTTATACCCCCGTCACAAAATGCTCTCTCCCGCATGCCAGTCTAGGTAACACATTGCTCTTTTGACAGTCCCTTTTTTTAATAGACGAGGCCTTGCATGTTTCACAGTTCAGCTGAGACAGCTTTCGGAGGTGGTAGCTAAAATTTATGAGAGCAGCACTGTGCATAATACTCTGCAGTGAGAGATTCTGGATGCCTTCATTTGGATTTTCTTTTTCGTGGGAGATAAAATGGCATACTGAAGGCAGTTTTCGGTATTGTCCTTTGGAGATCTGATCCCGATGCATAAAGAAGCTTAAAAAAACTGTGACAACATTGAGGCAATTGAATAATCCAATGAAGGAAAACAAAGCTGCAGTTAGACAGTTTCTATTCAATGAGGCTTTTCACTGAAATGTTCACAGATGATGTTAATAATACATGTTATGCACTACTTGAAATCTAACACACAATGGGAAGTAGGCATTAACTCGGTTGGAATGAAGCTGACATTAGGATGCCACAAGGAAAAAGCAGTAGTCTCGTAGCCATGGTCACAGGAGCCCAAAATCAACATATGGCACTATGTAAATGCCATTGTATTAGGAACAAATCAGGGTACAAACAGAGATAAAGTATAAAGAATAATATATATGGATCAACATTCGTTATTTGCAGCAAAGCATATTGGGAATACTTGCGTTTGAAATCCAATTGGCATCCTGATATTATAACCATTTAATTTGCCACAGCCATTATTTTCTGTATAGGGCTTTTTCGAATAGCACACTACTCAACTCCGAAATATCAAAAGATGTTCAGTTCTGGGGTGGGGGTTGGGATCTCACCCTGTTCTGTTTTGGTGTGGATTCTGTCCCTTCCCCCAGCAAAACACCTTGAACTCTACAGCAAAATCCTCAACCATTTGGCACCTCCTGTCTTAATAAAATGCTTGAGTGTCAGCACTCGGTGTTTTATTGAAGTGCCTTCTGGCTGGCCAAGCACACCCTGCTGTCAAGCTTGCTCTCTCCTTTGTCACAGCTAAAGGAACCAGGAACAAGGACGTACTTTGCTGAACACACAACAAGTCCTGCAGCTTCCCAGCGGCCTCTCACTATACCTCTCCTGGCAATGTAAAGTCTGCCCTCGTAGCAAAACCTCTTTGGAAAAGAATTACTCACAATTACGGTGTCATCTCTTTCCATTCTAATGACAGTCTTGTTAATGATGCGCAGCAACTGGGTTATTATTTCTTGTATGTGATGATAAGTTGACTCCTGTAAAATAAATACAATTATTTTCAAGATAATGAAGAATAATCCACAAAGAAACTGCTGCTGCTGCTGCTGCTGACATAGTCACTCCATCAGGAACAGAGTACCTGTGAGCTCAGAAGAGAATCACCTGATAACTGGCACCACAACCAGTGTATTGCAAATTAGCCCTTGAAGTAGATGAACCAAACCTTTCTGAAGATCTCTATTTCTGCCTACTTCAAAGAACAAAGGGCTCACTCCGCCATTTCCCTAGGTTGTCCCTATGCCAACTGACATTTTCTGTGTAACAAAGGGGGTGTTGTTTTTAATCAAAAGGCCATCCAAATATACCCTGTGAGTATCTTTGAGTAGCCTGTAGTAGAGTTCATGGAGTCTAATGTTCAGTTCTTGCAGCAGTCACACCACAAGAATTGCCAACGGCTAAGTCTCAGGGCTATTTAGCATGAACAATACCGCGTAGGCCTTCCAGAGTATGTATTATAAAAAGTACAATTCCTGCTTTTTATGTGGCACCATATCTCTGTATTATGTGATGAATCACTGGTTTCTTTCTACCAGACGTAGCAGTTTTCAGAGGAATTACTCAAATCAAGCTAACTTTTCATTCTCTCATGCATATTGCTAGGTTGAAAGCTTCCCCACGCAGTTCTCCAAATGTATTTGAATGTCACCTTTAGTCTCAGCTACTGCCTGAATATCTGTTATGGAAAAAAAACCACTTGTTTTTAAAAGAGTTTCTAGCTTTGTCTTTCATGAAGGGCATGAAATATAATTCAAAATAAGTGCATTTCTCACCACAGGCCTTTAAACACAATTTTAAAAAGGGTTATCTATGATTCTGCAATACCATGCCATGGGTACACCAAACATGCTATCTTATTGCTAATATGATATAGTGGTCATGGGTACACCAAACATGTTTTACCAGCGTTATGGAGTTCAGTCTTATGTACTCATAACAGGAAAGCAGAAAGCACAGTAACTGCTATGAAAACAAGAGTTAAGGGAACGGTAGAGACAGATATTGTGAGAGATAGCCTGGAAACTCCCTTGCCTACCTACTGATTGTGAAAAAATTCAACAAGATTCCACCAGCAGCATCCATGTGCAAAAATGCCCTTCATCTACTCTGGTACATGTATTAACCTTTATGGCAGAGGTCCCCAACCCCTGGTCCACGACCTGGCAGTGGTCCACGGCCTATACAGGACCCCGGGCTGTGGACACAGATCTCCTACCCCCCGTGAATGCCCCCCTGCAAGTGCTGTTCTGCGCATGCAGAGAGCATGATATGCACATGCATGTGCACTTGCGCGTGAGCTAGCTCTGCCCCCACTGTAGGCATGCCACACTCCCCCCCCCACCAGTCCACGGTTGGGAAAAGGTTGGGGACCACTGCTTAATGGGAGGTATATTTAGGGTTCTCCCTTCAACCAAAATGTCCAAATTTGTCTCCATGCTCTTCTGCAGCCATTAGGACACCTGATGGAGATCTGTCTTTCCCTTTCGAAGCACATATACTCCTGGAGTTGTATTCTATCTGCATCTTATCTAGCAGCATGGCTGCAATTTGCTATATATGTAGATGGGAAACAGTCTCTCCCCCCCCCCATACTCAATCAATATTCAAGAAAGTATCTTTTGTATTTTGCCTCTTGTTGCTCTACTATTATAGGGGGTGGAGAGCGTAATGCAAGAGTAATCTTTGAGGAAGTATAGGATTCAAATTAAAGTTTCCCTGATTTCTACTAATTCTCCTTCACTTTCCTTTACTCTGGGTCTACTCCAATAAGGAAAGGTTTCTACAGAATACTCCCATGCTGGAATATCTTTTTGTTTTCTCATGAAAAGGGTATGTCATGTATCCTAGGGCAGATTATGTTGCTTAGGGCTGTATGTTGGTTTCTGTATGCTTTGTACAAACTCAACTATAGCTTTTTTGGAAATGATACTTCTACATAATCTGCTCAAGCTGTGCTAATGATTAGTGGTCAGAATTCTGTTACCAATTTTTGCCTGTGTGAGTCACCACAGGAAATCATTGCTAATTAACCAGGCCTGGGTCATATTACTAGGCATGCACCAGTTATATAACTGGGCATATACCTCATAATATGATCATCACCTGATTAGTTAGTAGCATTTGACTGCAGTGAGTAATGCAGTTCCAGTTTACACAAGTGTTTGTTTGTTTGTTTATACCCCGCCTATCTGGTCTACTCGACCAAATAGTATAAATCACCAACAGGATTCTGACCAACATTTTAAATCTAGTTTGTAATTCATTAAAGGATGTAGCTAAACAGAACACTACTTTTAATTTCAATGAAATCCATATTGTGGAGGAGGGGGGGAATTGACCAAAAAGTAGCTTCAAGATGCCTGCATAGACAGAATATGACTACACATTACAACTTGCTTAGTAGGAAAAAAGCAAATAATTTCTTTTCATTTCTCTGAATTTTAAAAAACTGAGGTTATTCGTCCAAGCCCTTAGCTCTTCGATTTGCAACATAACACACATGCCACTGTTTTAATCGATTAAGTGAATAGTGATACAAGCAATCCAGATTTGGAGCTGGAAGAAATACCGAAGACTCAAACTTATAAATATCTCCTTGTGATGCCATGAGAAGACTGTCAGATCTGGGTGAAATACCTTAATTCTTCATTTAAAAAAAAAGCCTGAAGAATTGACAATCTTACTGTTGGCACATTGCTATCTCCAGGGGTATGAGAGCTACTATATTCAAGGTGAGACATTTCCAAGTGCAATAAAATGATTAGAAATAGTTTCTTAAGGACTGCATTACAGTATACAGAATCTAGGGAGATACTCTTCTGTGTGGCTTCGTGCTGTATTTCTGTCTCATGCTCTGTCAACGTTTTCACATTTGTGTTTAATGGTCTCTTTTACAGATTATATTCAGATGTTCAGCTGCCGGCATTGGATCTGGCTGCCCTCTATTCTCACTTGGCTTGGAGGGGCTTCAAATGGGCCAGAGGGGAAGAACAAGTGATTTACATTTCTTGTCTCCCTACAGTTCTTTCCAGGGTAGCACTTGGAAAGAGGTCCAGAGGCATGGCTTGGATGCAGATTATTTTGCAAGGGATGGGGATTCAATTGTAATTAGAGTATTTGTTTGCACTCCTTTATGTGTAGAAAACTTACATAAAGCTCCATTCTCAGAATTGCCTGGGATCTCATTTCCTCCCTGAGATCTGAGCAGTACATGTTTTCAGGATTAGGGTGACCTCACATTCAAATAACTATGTCAACCTCTTCCAACCTGCCACCCCTGGATGTATTAGACAAAACTCCTATCATTCCCAGTCAGCAAAGTCACTGATGGAATTTAAAACCCAGTACATCTGAGTTGAGAAAAGAGGAACAATGGAATCTCCGAATTTAAGTGTTAATTTTTTCTCCAGTTGTAAGAGAGATAAATATGTTCCACAAAAATCTAAATTGGCTTCTATTTGGTTAATTATCCATCTTATTTCAATGTCTATATGATCTCTGTTTACTTCTTGAACAAACTGAGGATGTTGCCTATGAAAACTCTCTAGCAGAGCAATCCATTGCTAAGTCCTTATAATAGCTTCTAACTTAATTTGCAGCGATACATCCACACTGTAGGCTCAATAGTTCATTAAACTTCATGGGCCTGTAATTCTTCCACACATATTTAAAACCAGCTTCCTCCAATGCAAAAATTAAATAGGCTAGTTCTTAAGCACATCTCAATATCTTAAAATGCCAAACAAATGCTTTGCCAAGTCTAATTAAGAATAAACACGTAACACCATTAGCTTTTTCTATTTTCCTGATGTTGTTAAAACTTACAGATAATGGCTATGCCCCTACTTTTTATCTTCCTAGACATACTAAACTTCACCCTCTCTTTGATCAGCAGTTACGGTGCCAGATGCCACAGTGGGGTACCTCTCTTTCCAAAGGCAGCATCTGGATGTTTGGCAAATTTCCCAGTTCACTTTTTTTGGCAGACCTGGCATTTTCAGAGGGCTTGTCATAAACTGTTGCTGAGCTCTGACAGTTTTTTCCCTTAGAAGCTCTCCCTCCCCACCCTCTGTCTTCATAAACCTAGCAAGTATCTCTTGCTCCGAGATCTCATAAAAGATCTTTAATTAGATGTTGTACTCTCCCAAAAGAATCCTTCACCATGGATGCTGACTAATTAGGTTAGATTTTGTATTTTGTTAAAAAGTTTGATTTCCAACTGAGCTTTAAAAACATAAAAGAACTATATGGGGGCATTGACTCAATAGGACTTGGATAAGTCAACATATATGTGCGCCCCATATGGTTTAACAGATCTACTTTAGCTGGGAATAAGAACTGAATTTTGTCCAACAATTCAGGGCCAGCATTTCAGTTCTGGAAAAGAGTCAGTATGATGTGGGCGTACCAGTACTCAAGGCATAGATGCTTTCCCAATGGAGATGGTATCTATACAGGGAAATGAATTTCTCTGGGGGAATATCTAACAAAGCACTACTTTAATATATACATAAATAATGGACCAGCCATACATATATCTATAATTTCAGAACAAGATGAAAAGGTATTAAGATTCGGAAGATGCACAGTGAGTGATAGGGGCTGAATACATGGAACATTTAAGAAAAAAAGCAAACAAAAATTCTCCTCATTGCTCCCGCCTGTCTCCTCTCACTTCTTGAAGGATGTTTTCTATTTCACTTTTAATTTTTTCAAGTGATACAGTGCATATGTGTTGCCCTAACATACTTTAAAAAAGGAAGTAGTAATATCCTATAGAGGCTCTGTTTTCAAGCCACTTCATGATACTGGCAAATTGACAGTGGGCTGGTGCAGACCAAATCGAGTTGCTTGAGGTCTGTATGCCATTTGACTGTAAGGATTGCACCAAACGGCATATCAGACCTCCTAGCAACCCTTTTTAGCACACACCTGTTCCAGCCTGTTCCAGCAAAGCCATGTAGCCAAGCCCTTAATAAAATCTACAAAAACAATACCAAACCCACTCTGGTTAATTAGAAAGGGTATCTTACTAGGATTTAGGAAGCTTGGATTCAAATCTCAAATCAGCCACAGAAACTCACAGAGAGATGCCCATGGTAAACTACAGCATGAATCTCTCACACACCTTTGAAAAACCCTGTTAGGGTTCCCATAAGTTGCAATGGACTTGATGACACATAAAAACAACAAGCCATCATACACCAGCAGTTCTATATACACAGAGAGAGATCCCATGAGAAAGTCAAGGGGAACTTTGTGTAATTATGATGACATGCCCAGGGAGCTTTTCCTGAAATTCACACAAAGCTTAGAAATGTTTTTCTTTTTTTTTATAACAAGTCCCAGAAGCTCAGACAACATGACCTGTATCTTGTAGTGTGTGGTAAATATCTAATTGACCTCCCAAAATTGCCATTCTCAGCAGCCAGTCCAATCAGTTGCCTCAGAAGGAGAGGCAAGACAGCATCTCTCAGCTGGGACTAATTACTTTTTTGCCTCTTCCTCTCACAAAATCAGCTTCATTAGTGGCCATTCCACCTGGCAGCATTAGAGAGAGAGAAGAAACAATGTTGCCTCTTCCAACAGCTTGGTGGGGGTGGGTCTCCCTGTTTGTTTGGCTCCTTCTTTCCCACAGCGGGCTCCTCCTACAACCATTCCAACATTATATACTAGCTATGCTCTTCCCTCTTCTTTTTGCATGGACTTCATTAATAGTATGTGATCTGTTATGGGAGGCTGCTTGTTTAGGGCAGTGGTTCCCAGCCTTGGGCACCCAGATGTTCTTGAACTACAACTTCCAGAAATCATGGCCAGCACACCTAGTGGTGAGAGCTTCCGGGAGTTTTAGTCTAAGAACCTCTGAGGACCCAAAGTTGGAAACCACTGGTTTAGAGCTTTTCCAACTGGACACCTCATAGTTTAGGAACCTTCTATTTCTAAAATAGCCAAGGTGCCCTTTTGAAAGAGCCACCCCTTAAGGAGATAAGAGGGAGGGCTTGTAGAGAAAGGGCCTTTTCGGCAGCTGCCCCAAGACTATGGAATGCCCTCCCGGCTGAGATTCGTCTGGTGCCGACGCCGATGACATTCCGGTGCCAGGTTAAAGAAGGCTTCTAATTGAAATAATATCAACTGTGGGTCCTGATATTAATTTTTAGAGTATATATTTTAATTGTATTTTAATTGTTTTATCTTTTTGATGTATTTTACAATACAATAGGGGTAGAGTGGGTGGCATATTAGTTAAACAAACAAATAAATATAAGACCATTTAGATAGGAATAATTTGTGAGTGGATACCCTTCTGTTTCCTACTCCAACTTGCTGACCAGAAGAGCACTAACTTATGGAAGAGATGCACAACTTCCCATTATGTAGCAATCACGGCACAGAAAGCAAAAGCTCTGTATGCAGACAAAGCTACTCTCTGTCTACAGCCTGGGATAATAGAGCAGGAGTGGGAACATATGGCCCTCCAGATGTTCACTGGCAAAAGTTTCCATGGATCCAAACTTGTAAGCAAGTCTACATTTGAATCATAGTAGTAGCAACATCTGGAGCTCCATATTCCCCATTCCTGTGCCAAACATGACACTAATATTTGGGATCCCCATGTACTGGTTTTAAATTCGGCACACAAGAATTACTTTTCAGAAAAACAGTGGGATTAAATTAAATTGTATTAAACTGAGAGTGAATTTTGCAATGTAATATATGAAATATGTAACAGTAAGTAGCTCTTTGTGGAAATGGTAGCATCTTTTCAAAACAACTGAGGACAACTAAGCATTCCTTGAAGGAGGCAAAGGCAGGACAGAATCAGATGATTGTAAAGTTTTAGCTTATTGGGGAATTGTTCACACTGAAAGGATAAAAGCTAGCCAATTTAGCATTATCACAAACACACATTGTCAAACATGATAAAAGGAAACATTGATTCCATGTCCTGTGTGGTAAAGGCTATGTGGCAGAAAGAGACAAAACATGAAAGTCCTATGCAGACTCTAACATCATCTTAAACAACTCTACTTGAGATGCCAAGGAAACATTATGGCCGCATAAGTCAATTACAGTTAGAGTTATAGGCTTCCTCTGGTTGCAACAAATGAATGTATAAACATGGAAAATGAACACAGCTGCAGAATTTCATGAAAAGAGGGGGAAATATAACAGGTTCATGTAAAATCCAACATAATTCTTGTTTTTCTACAAAGTGGTGTGATAGCATTATAATTTAACTGAGGTGTCACAGCCCATGAACTCTTGGAAGCTTTTATCATGGGACTTAGTAGGATGCATAAGTAAACATCCATACGACTCAACTGTTAACTGAATGTGTCTTGTTCCCATTTTTAGAACCATAGTCAGAGCAGTGGGAACTAGTAGAGCACCTCATCCATCATGTTCCTCAGTTGGATTCCACACACCTGGCATATGGTCCTAATTTAGCCTAACTATATTAACCTTGCAGGTGTACTACAACAATATGGGAAAGAATTTTTTTGTTGTTTTCATAACAGACATTTCAAACTACAATTAAGCTTTATTTGAAAACACTAGGCCTTGAGCTCTTCAAATAAATCCTAGGCGTTGACTTGTGAATTTGCACAAATCTCTTTATGCAGTTCAAAGAAAGAAAGAAAGAAAGAAAGAAAGAAAGAAAGAAAGAAAGAAAGAAAGAAAGAAAGAAAGAAAAAAAAAAAGAAAGAAAGAAAGAAAGAAAGAAAGAAAGAAAGAGGGAGGGAGGGAGGGAGGGAGGGAGGGTTATGTTAATCTACTGCAGCAAAAGCTATCAGAAAGTCTTGTCTCTTAAAGACAGATGGTTTACTTGGAATGAACTTTAATGATCTTTGGTCCACTTCATCAGATCCTGAACCTTGTGTGGCTGCAGTCCACAACAGCTTACATCAACTAAGGCAGTGAATCTGACACAGGAACCTTTGTGCATAAACTATATAATGCAAAAACGGTGATGTCCCCAACTTTTGATATAATCAATGATTGGATATCAAGAATGTCCTGTCAACTTCTACACTTGTCATTCACACATTCTCATTGCTCTATTTGCTTAAATTATTGGAGCAAACTATATCTATCCTGTCACTTACTGTGGTTTAAGCATAACCAGCATTCCTCAAAATTGCAGGCAATCTTAGTTAGCCTTAACTAGAAATGGGCACAATCCTGCATCATTGGATCATACTGGATTGTCACAACATCAGAGGTGCTGTGCATTCCCTTCTCCCACCCCACCCCGGCTAGATATCCCCACTCACGAGGCGGTGCACACTCCTCTTTGGATGTTTGACCAGTCACAGAAGGAGTACAGACTTTCTTTCTCTTCTTCCTCCAGCAGCTATGGAACCTTTGAGTGGCCTGCTGCTGGAGGAGGTGGAGAAGACTGCAGTGAAAAAACACCATCATATTTCTCCTACGCTGGCCGCCTTGCATTGGCTGCCCATCTGTTTCCGCGTCAACTTCAAAGTTCTAATGCTTACTTATAAGGCCCTAAACGGTTTAGGACCTCGATACTTGGCGGAACGCCTACTTCCACCAAGGTCTACCCGGATCACCCGCGTGAGTCAGGAGGTGAGGCTGAGGAGCCTGACGCCGAGAGAGGCCCGGAAGGAGAAGACACGAAACCGGGCCTTCTCGGCGGTGGCTCCTCGCCTTTGGAACAATCTCCCTCCAGGAATTCGCGTGGCCCCTACACTGGGCATCTTCAAAACCCGATTAAAAACATGGTTATTTATTCAGGCCTTCCCTCCAGCCAATTCTTGATTTTCTTCTTCTTATTTTCCTATTTTTTAGTTTATTCTAGTTGTTTTGTATTAGCCATGTATCTGTTGTATTTTATTGTTTAATTTTATATTGGAAGCCGCCTAGAGTGGTCCATTGGTCCAGATAGGCGGGGTATAAATCAAATAAATTAATAAATAAATAAATACCATGATTGGAGGAATGTCTGAAGAGGAGTGTGTGCCTCCTCGTGAATGGAGGAATCCAGTGTGGGGGAGGAGGATGCACGGCACCTGTGGTGTTGTGATGACAATCCAGCATGCTCCAACAACTCTGAATCATGCCCATTTCTAGACTTAATCACAGCAACAAGGAAGAAGGGAGGCCACAACATGACTCTTGATTTTCAGAACATGGTTTACTAGTTTACTATTAATGATACACTGTAATAAAACAGTTTGATGTCTTTGGCTTTAGTAAAAGAAAGTTCTTTTAGGATTGATGACATGTCAAGACAAATGGACCAGAAAATCAGGACAGGAGAATGTGCACTCTGTATCTATTCTCATACTGAAGACTATGAGAACTAGTTCAATCTGTCAGGGGCCTGTTATATTTAGAATGTAAATGAAAGTCATCAACATCAATATTTTACAATTTAATTAGAACAAGCTTACAACCAACTGGAACCAACTACAGAATCATTGTCCTCATCAATACTCACTGCATCTTGACAGCTGAGAACCTCCAGGATGCTGTTGAGTAATTCAATGCAATTCTTCTTCCCTAGGAGTTGTGTCGGTGTCTCTTCTGTCGGATCCAGGAGCTCCTTCAGTTCTTTGGTAATGACAGGGAGCAGAATGTCTCTGCACTCTGAAAGTAATAACTGGTTGTTCAAGAGGTTGTTCAAGAGGAGGTTATATGCAACTTTCTGCAGAAGTTTACAGGAGAAGCCTCCCTGCCTCCACTATCCTTAATTGCAGTGTTTTTTGCATTTGGAGTCTATGCTTTGATCCCCTAACATTTTGCTAATGTAGTTGTGCAGAAATGCATTCATTCTGAGATAAATTAATTAGTTAAGCATCTACATTCAGTTCATGGTTAAAATAACCACACATCTCCAGTCCTCAGAACTTGCTGACTGATTGAATCCATTTGAATAGAATGCAACACTTGTAGTAGGGCCTTGCAGATAATAAACATCTTCCTTCCAAACTAACTTCTTTAAACTCTACTTTTCATCTTCCAATAAAATTTCCTTATGGGAGAAGATGAATATGTGACCCACAGCCATCAAGGCAGCAAAATGTGCATTAAATTGTGAGATTTGCATGTGTTTTACAGTAAATCAAAGCAAAGTAATTAAACCAAATGGCATGAATAACTAAGCTGAAGATCCATTTGACAAAGAATTACTGCCTATTATTAAGTTGAGCTATTTTCTGCCTTCATTTGCATTCAGGATGCTACATGCATAATCTCTAGAACAGTAACAGTACCTATTAGGCATATGCTGTATGTACTTCCACACAATCTCAAATTTTGGGAAAGTAAAAGAGAACCAACAAAACAAAACAGTAACTCAGGAATGAAGTCAGAAACCCAGCTGCTCAAAACATGACCAGATATCACTGTTCCACAGAAAGGGATGATCATTTGTCAGCCTTCTACTCCTGTCTGAATATTGTTACATCTCAAAAAATTCTGTCTTCACTATCCAAAAGAAAGTGCCTCCCCTTCCACAAAAAACAAACAAACCCTCTTTTATGATGGGGAACCTATAATCAACAAAATATACGTAATGACATGAAAAGGCTTGACAAGAAAACCCTGGAGAAGACATGTGTTTCCATTCAAATTTGTTATTTTTTAATACAAAACTATGCTTTTCCAAAGTTTCTCAGCATGTACAACTAGTGTATGAGCAGGCAATCCACCAGTCAAAAGAGGTTTGCTATAGGAAGAATACAGTTTTATTTCACTAATTCTAATTATTCTGTGAAATGACTGTAGTGAATTTGCTTGCAAGGGACTCTTCCAATTTCTAACATCCAGATGTTAGGACAGGAAAGGTATGTATGAGACTGCCTACAGGCATATTCACAGACAGGGCAAGATATGGAGTAGGGTGAATGAAGGAATGACTTGCCCATCAGCAGCGCCCCCTCATTTCTGAAGAACAAAGGCAGGATGTCCCCTCTGTCCTCTTACAGAGAGGGTCAAGAAGGAAATGTGAGGAGGAATTGACATAATGAACTGTAGGAATATCAGTGTAGGTGGAATAAGGTCAGAACACTTAAAAGACAGTCTAGGAAACCTGAGGAAATCCTTCTTTTCTAAATCTATTCTTTCCCAAGCGAAGACATGTGTCTTGCTCATTGTAAGCTGAGTTGCACCCAATGACTTCCAGCACTGGCAAAGAGTGTAAAGCTGGAATGACCACAGAAATTGGTCATAATCTGGGGTGGGTTGAATAAATAGAGTGTGAAAACTTGGTGAAGGAAGTACACATAAAGGAATCAGATCTAGATATGTACGTGTGTGGGTGTGTGGGTGGGTTATGCACATACATAAGAGTCTCCCTGCTCTCTTGATCCCAATGCAGTCTCTTGCACCCTAAAAACAATGATCTTCTTGAGGAATGGTGGACTTTTCAGAATGGCATGAGATGAGGTATGGGGCTACAGCAGAAGGTTGCTATGGCAGATATGGGAGGTGCGCGCACATGCGCATATCTTCCCACTTCTGAGATCAATGTGCAAAAGCTGATAAAGTCTGGTTAATTGTGTTCGCTGTTCTGGAATGACTGGTGGCTGTTCATAAGCACTTAAATCCAACCCTTAAATCCATTCTCTGTAAATCCCAACCACTGACATCAATAATTGAGATATACTTAGCAAGCACAATTTAGTAAATAACCTGAAGCCTTACTTTTTGTTTTAAAAAATTTATTTTAAATAACTTTGCCTTGACATCCCTTGTGGATAGATTCAGTTTATTTGTGTGAATTGATAGATCTATGGAAACCTCTTTTTTAATTATTTATTTTTGGAATTTATTGCCCTGTTACTGTCTTAGGGCTAAAAAATATATGAAAATAACATTTTACAGTGCCCAGTTTGAACATCTCTGGGGGAGAATATATTTGTGCCAAGAATAACATGCATTTGTTCTGTGACCAATGAATAGGGAGTTCCTGGCAGCTGTCCAAGTTCTCAATTGTTGTTTTTCCTGCTTGTGACTTTTCCTTAATACAAGGTGAGAGAAGATGGATTGGGTGCAATTATGCAGCCAAGACAGTAAATGTTTGTATCAATATGGAGCCGAAAATGTTACTGAGTGAAGACAAGGACTGAAACAGCATGTACAAATTAATACATACACAGCAATTAAAATGCCTATGTCCAAGCTGATGGGAAACTGTCTAGCCCATAGCACAAGGCAAGAACGCTTGAGAAGCTGATGCCCTGAGACACCGCTGAATGGCAGCTGAAGGTATCTCACTGGTGCCCTATGACGATCACTGGAGAGAGGGGTCTTTCTCTGAGATTCTTACTGTTCTAGCCCAAAGCAGAATGCCATACTGGGCTTCTATACCCTCTCTAGACCTTTTTACTAAACCATTCCAATTCTCTGAATCTCTTTCAGAACCAAATAGAAAACAACAGCAGGAAAGAAACCACCGTTCTTCTAGTTTCCTCCCGTCACATCTTGAATACTAACAATGTCAGCATCTCATTCACAGCCTTAAAAACCTACCACCGTGATAAAGCAGAGCACCGCGCCCACACAAACACATATTAGAAAACAGTAATTTGTTCCTGTCACTCAGTTATCATACCTAAGCAGAAGCTTGAGCGCTCTGCCTAAGAGACAATTGGACTTTACAGTAACTGACACAACAGAGAGGAAAATACACTAATTGTGCAAGATGGATTTCCCGCTATTTATGGAACATTGCAAACCAATCCATACATCAATCCATTTCCATTAATCAAGAGCATAAATGAACGAATATTCAAATTACTATATTAATCTTTGTCGCTAGAATAATATAATAATTATCTTTGTAGCCTTTAATTTAACAACGTAAGGCTTGATATTAATGGTTACTGCAATGTGTGCAGCTGCTCATATTCATTTTACTGGACGTTTATAGATAATAGTGGACATTATTAAGATGTAATCATGTCTTAATGTGCCCTTCTACCACCCCAAAACATTGATTTTTGGATTGTGGTCAACCATTTATAGTGAGCGATGGCTTGCATAAGAGATTGTGTAAAAATGTACTTTAAGGTACAGACTGCAAATCCAGAAGATCAGCTCCACATAATTTCCGTTCATAAAAAAATGGAAAATAACTTTCTTCTTGAAAATAGCGCTCAAAAACAACTCACCAAAAGGAAAAGGAAAGTTTTAGCTCTTTGGCAGAGCATATTCTCTGACTGCAGACATTCTTAGGTTTATACACGTAGAACTTGGGAAAAAATCCTGCCAATCACTGTCAACAATTCTGGATCACATGGATTAATCATGGAAGGCAGATTCCAACATTCCTGCATAGCAACACACCCTGTAGGATGCTACTTTGGGAAGAGGCAGTAGCAAGCAATGCCACATTTTTTGTGTTTTCAGCTTAACAATATGTATTATAACTCTCGGTATAATAGGTACTCCTCAAAATGTTTTTTTAAATTTCAGATTTTGTTTTATTTTTATGTATTGTTATCATTTTTCGTTATTTTACATTTAAAATTCAAAATGTTTTTTTTAAATATCAGATTTTGTTTTATTTTTATTTATTTTTATTTTTTATCATTTTTCGTTATTTTACATTTAAAATTAAAGTGAACATAACCAATGTATTAGTAACACGTTACTCCTAAAATTACAAGTAGCCTTTATGGTATCAAGTTATAACTTTCAGAAACAACAGTTCATACAAACATGTTAGCCATTTTCCAGCTTCAACAATCCTGTTTAGCCCTAATCCAGCCTGTGATAATGTCACTATAGTTACATCCCAAGTGAGACAAAGAGGAGTCCCACTGCCAGGATAAAGGCGGTACAGAAGTACAGTAAATAAAATAATAAATGGTTGCTGTAGGTTTTTTGGGCTGTTTGGTCATGTTCTGGAGGTTTTTCTTCCTAACGTTTTGCCAGTCTCTGTGGCTGGCATCATCAGAGGACAGGAGTTTGTATGTGTTCTGGTGTAGTGTGTGAGATAGTTGAGTATTTGTAGCTGTGGGATCAGCTTTTGTCCTTTTCAGGAGATTGGGTGATTGTGGTGTTCAGGATGCTTTTTGTTACGGGTGTATTGTTGCGATAAGGGGGGGGGAGATAATCTGTCACTGTGATGGATTGGTATGCTTTTTGTTACAGGTGTATTGTTGTGATAAGGGGTGGAGATAATCTGTCACTGTGATGGATTGGTATTCATTAGTCTTTTGTGTGCAGTAATCACCAGGCCTTGTGGCGGTGTAGAGCCCAAAAAACCTACAACAAACATTGGATCCCAGCTGTGAAAGCCTTCGAGAAAAAAATAAATATTCAGCTTTGGGAGCTACTAGCATTTTGTAGCTAGTTTTTGCCTCTGGTTTTTGCCTCTCTCAAAACATCTGACATGGGTGCAAAGGACTTTGGATCCTGTGGTACTTAAACTACTACTCCCGCTCATCTCAATCTGTATGTTGCAAATGAAGTCAAATACAGTGGTGCCTCGTATAACGAGTGCCCCGTTTAACGACGAATTCGCATAGCGATGGCATTTTTGCCATCGCTTTTGCGATCGTATAACGAAGGTGCCTATGGGGAAAAATCGCTTTGCGATGTTTTCCCCGTAAGCACCATTTTCCCCCAGCTGAGCGGCG